GGCCGCGAGCACCCCCAGCCGCTGGCCCTTCATCCCTCCCGGGAGCCGTGTTTCCTTCTCGGAGGCCTCGGGCTGTTCGCTCAGGTCAGCCCAAAGCTGCTGCTGTTTCCTCCCGGATCGGGACCCAGCGCCGCCGCCGCCTCCTCCTCAGATAGCCTTCCTCGCCCTCACCCGGGGCGATTCTGTGCCTCGGGGGACTCTTGGCCACGTCCGGAGACCTTTTTGGTTGTTACCAATTGTGGGGGAGGGGAGATTGCTACTGTCATCTAGTGGGTGGAGGCCAGGGGACGCTGCTTAGTGTTAAACATCCTACATTACACTGGACAGTCCCCCACAACAAAGAATTATCAATAGTGCCTAGGTTGGGATACTCTGCTCTGGGGCCTTAAAAATCTATGAAGTTCCGAATAAACTATGCAAATTGTTTAAAATTAAGCTGAGTCACTTAGAGGGCCTTTAAGTGAGAAGATAGTTTAAAGCGTCTAGAGTCACCGTAAAATCTCTCTCCAGCGAAATGAGTTGAACAAGTGTCAAATGTACAACACAGCATTAAGCTGCTTTCTCCCCTCCTGAATAGCAGGTAGCTGGGTAGGAATCGGGTAAATCCAGTCACAGCCAACAGGCTGGCGCCTTATAAGTGAAATCTGTCAGTACAAAAAAAAAAGTGGATGGAGTGGTCCTTTTAGCCAACAACTGTATCCAACAACTGTACAAAGTATAAAAAGCCTCAAAAGCAATTTTTGTGCCCTTTTTTTCAGACGAGAAAAGCATCTCTCAAGCTCAGCTCTGTGTTGAAACCAGCCTCAGAGTCCATCTGTCCTCACTGATCCGTGGGTTTCTGTGGGACTAGGTGAGTATGACGTGGAACAACAGGGTTCCAGCAGGCTCCCCTGTGTAGAGCTGCTACTGGGCTTGTCCTCTGCTCAGATTGTAACCACAAAGAGTCACTAAGAGTGAGGGTATCTTAAGAAAAATTATTTGTGTTTGATGGCTTATATTAAGGGAAAGATACTACTGAGGTGTTTATGGTTATATGCGTGTGAATACGTCAGTAAATACAGTTACATGCAAATAAATACATACAAAACATATAAGCATAAATATGTGTAACTGTAGAGAAATATAGATTTTCTTTTATGCCATCATACTAAAACTTTTAGGATTTCATGTAAAATATTTATGTCGGTATGTAGTATTACAAGTCTTTCCACTAAAGACTAGCAGAACTCCTCAGCAACATTCCTCAGGCGTGTTTGATTTGAATTTTAAAGGCCTGTAAATCCTCCATAAAACTTCGAAATATAGGAGCACTCACAACGAAGATGACTCGAGATTCCTTATATTAATAACAGAAATTTAAAATCAAATTGACCAGCAACTAGATGTGTTTTGAGCAATTGGATTTTGTTTTTCCTAATGAGATTTTAAATCACTTGAGAGAATGTTAAGCAACAACTTACAGATTGAAGGGTAGGGCACTGGTTTCCAAAAAGATTGCCCTCTGCATCTTGCCTCGTAATAGTAATCAACTTTGTTGCTTAAAACTTCCCTGAAATAACAGTATGGTGATTTTTATTGCAGAGAACCACGTTAACTAATCTTATATTTAATTGTGAAATTTTGCTAATTGCGTATGTGTGTGTGCCTTTTTCATTCTAGCTGTCCAATAACATTCTCAAGGGAATGTTTGCTTATCATGCAATAGATATGCTTCGAGTATACAATTTATGATGACCAACCATCCCCGTTTATTCAGGACTAAGGGATTTGCTAGGACATAGGACATTCACGTGGTTTTTTTTTGTTTTTGTTTTTTTTTGAGACAGAATCTCACTCTGTTGCCTGGGCTAGAGTGCCGTGGCATCAGCCTAGCTCACGACAATCTCAAACTCCTGGGCTCAAGCAGTCCTCCTGCCTCAGCCTCTCAGAGTGCTAGGATTACAGGCGTGAGCCACCGTGCCCAGCCCAGAATGAAGACTTTTTAAGAGGCAAGATGGGAGATGTTAGGAAGAAGTTTAGGAATCAGATCATTGTTCCCTAGACCCGGATAATGGTCGCAGAGTAGGAAAGAAGAGATCAGGAAGTTTAGAACCAGGAGAATGCAGTGACACTGTCATTCATCTGTGCATTTTTCTGATGGCACAGACCACTCCCGGTGCTCCCAGCTCCTGTCTGTGCAAACCTGCAGGCAGCCCCCTCAGCCAACCCTAAAGGATCCACCTCCACGTCCTAAAGGAAGTGAGGCCTGAGCGTGTCTGGGGCTGCTGTGATAGCCATTAGCCACGTGGAGCTATTTCAGTTAAACCAATGAAAATTAAGCACAATTGAAAATCAGTTTTCACAGTCATACTAGCCACATTTCAAGTGCTCAGTAGCCACCTGTGGCTGCCCTATTAGAGAGAATTATGGCACATTTCTGTTGGCACCAAAAGTTCTATTGGGCAACTCTGATATAGAGCGGCCCATCCGCTGTGACCCTTTTCCAGCCCCACCATATATATCTGGGGCAGGGCAGGAGTCACCGGATCTGTGAACTGAACAGAGACCCTTCCTGCCCCAATAGGAGATTGCAGTTGCCAGGCAACCTCCAAGGGGCACCTGGGGGCTGCAAATGGACCCAGCACCTTCTCTGCTTGCGTTCCTCTTGGGAGCCAGTGAGCTGGCTGGATCCCAGCCTTCTTCTCACTCCTCAGCTCAGTGACTGCAACTACTGTATACCTAACTGCAGATTGGGTCCCCGGTGGGGAAAAGGAGGTGTCCTGCACTCATAGAGGGTAGGGAAGTTCTGCAGCTGTTCCCAGATTCCTGCAAAGGCCTCAGGGAAGATTTGATGCTAGAGGCAGTATTAGTTTCCTGTTGCTACTATAACAAATTATAACAAATTTAGCGACTTAAAGCAACACAAGTTTATTCCCTTGCAGTTTTGGAGGTCAGAAGCCCTAAATGAGTCAGCGGGTTTTTTTGTGGCTACGTGTTTCTTCATTATGTAGATAGGCCATAGGTTTCCCATCAGTCCTCACTGATGGTCATTTGTGCTGTTTTCAGTCCTTTGCTATTTGAGACAGTGAATAACCTCACAGGTGTCTTTTAGTATTTGTGTGTCTTTGAGACAGATTCCTGGAAGTGCGCTTGGTAGGGAAAGAGGAAACATTTTTGCAGCTTTGCTCAATGCCGGATCAGGCTCTGGTGGTGTGAGGAAGAGTCCAGTCGCATGGGAACACTTGCAGGGAAAAGGCAGATGAGGGTGCACTGAGCAGGGAGGACAGCTCCTCCACAGCAGGGGGGCAACCCCAGCCCAGAGCCACAGAGCAGGGCCCTGCAGAGAAGGGAGGCAGCTCCTGGTCTGTGGCAGGAGGGAGGGAGGAGAGCAGGGTGCAGACTGCCTCATTGACGGCAAGACAGAAAGGTGGATTCCTTCTCTTGACTATTATCTGAGAAGTAGACTGCAGGCTCATCTGCGCAAAGCGAGATGATTTGCTGTCTGTTGCTACCTGGCCCGGGATCCCAAACCTTAGAACAACAGTAATCATTTTTCATCTCCCACTGGTTTTGTGGTTCAGGAACTCCGGAGTGGCCTGGCCCGAAGGTTCTGGCTTGGAATTTTCTGGAGGCTGCAGGAGGCTGTCAGCTGGGCTGCGTCATCAGAAGGCTCGACTGGTGCCCTAGGCTCACACCCATGGCTGGAAGGTCGGGGCTGGCTGTGGGCAGGAAGCCGCGGCTCCTCTGCACCTAGGCTTCCGCGCACGGCTGCGTGGGTGTCGTCCCACCATGGCACCCAGCTTCCCCTAGAGCAGTGTCCAGAAGACCAAGACAGCAGCTGCAGTGCCTTCTAGGACCTGGGCTTGGAAATCATCCACTGTCACCTCTGCCGGATCTGCCAGTCACACAGGTCAGCCCTAATTCCGTGTGTGTCGGGGGCTACACAGGGTGCAAACACCAGGAGGCTCAGACCCTCGAAGGCCATTTAGGAAACCGCTAAGCACAGAGAGGAAAGGCGAGGCCGTGTGAGGTTTAAAGAGATCAGAGGAGGTCTGAGGAATTAGAAGCCACACTGACCTGTAGGATCCTCCTGCGGGGCTGAGGGCTATTTTCACAGTGGTGACCGTGTTCTTCTAGAGGCGGCAGCGTTACTGCCCTGGTGCCGGCTGCTCTGCCCCAGTGTCGCCACAGAGCAGGCGGGTGGTTGGAGTCGTGCCTGGCTGGAGTTCTGCTAGGCCGGCGTGAGGCGTGGATAGGGATGAGGGAGGCAGCTGGAGTGAGGGACGGTGAGATCCGAGCTGGGTGAGTGGGAAACGCGGGCGGGTGGAGGCCTCTGTGTGGTCCAGGGACACACGTGGTGAGAGAGGCACATGAGCAAGCACAGTGGAAGCAGAGGAGGGAGGTTGGGTTCAGAGAGGGGGATTTCTAAACTGTTGTCCCAGATGGTGGGACAGTGCCAGGTGATGACCAGGGCTGGGGGACCCTGGAAGCGTGTGGCCAAAGGGGCAAAGGAGGGGAGGGTCTCCTGGGACCATGAGGCCCTCTGGCGTCATCCACATGCGGGGGAGCTCTGGTGGTGGAAGGAAAATGGGAGTCAGGGGCCCGAGTCCCCTGGGAATGAGGGGGCGCAGCCGGCAACCCGTTTGTGACCACAGCTGGGGCGGGAAGAAGGTGACATGAGATGCACAAAGCTAAGGTTCTCAGGGCGGAGCACGGGTGCATTGGTCGTGGCACTGGGGACAAAGGAAGGTGAGTTTTGCCATCAGGTGACCCTGCATTCATCACCTGCTCAGCAAGATAAAGGCCCAGCATGGAAGACGGAACTTGGGTGTGAAGGAGTGAAGGAGGACGAGTGGACAGGCTGAGGAAGGCGCGGCCTGAGCAGCCCGAGAGAACTCGAGGCTGCGGAGACGTGGAGTTTCCCCATTTCTTCCAGAGCACGGTCCCCAGGGCCCCGTGGAAACAAGGGAAGGAGCGTCCTGCGCCTCCACTACCCTGTGTGTTGGTGTCGGGGTCACAGGATGGCGGCCGTCCTCCTACCCCCCGCTGGTGGTGAGTCTTGGGGTCCCAGCAGCCCTCAGAGTCCAGGCTTGAGACGCCCCCGACCCCCAGCCTAGAACAGGGAGGGGTCTGGACAGAGGTGGGGCGGGATGGAGCCGCAGGAGCCCAGAGGTCCTGGCGTCTGATTGGGCAGCTCTTGGGATTGAGGACTTAGGGGTTGGGGTGTCAGTGGGATGTAGGCACGTGCTGGGGGGAGTGCCCGTGTGGGTGTCTGTGGGGTGTAGGCATGCGCTAGGGGGTGTACACGTGTGGTGTCTGTGGGGCGTAGGCATGTGCTGGGGGGTGTGCCCGTGTGGATGTCTGTGGGGCATAGGCATGTGCTGGGGGGTGCGCTCATGTGGGTGTCTGTGTGTGTGTTGACGTGGCCAGTCCCAGGCGGGTGGGAAGCCCCCAGATTTGCAAGTCTAGACACAGGGCAGGCCTGGATTCCTGTGACTCACTTCTTCCCCTCCAGCCCGGTCTACCTTGTACCCTGCCTCCCAGCAGAAAGGACGCAGAGAGGAGGAAGGGCTGGTTAGTGAGTTCCTGACGAGCTGGTTACAGGTGAGTCGAATAGTCCTCTTTCTAAATCATCATTCCTTTGGCCAGAAGTTGGACTTGTTACCTTTCAGCACCTTCGCCAAAAGAAGCCTCGCAGCCAGCCCAGGTCCTCGGGCACCCCAGGGTCTCCGATGAAGGGTGAGGGCTGCCCAGGAAACGTCAGCGTATGTCAACTGTCACTGCAGTTTAAAAGCTCCCTCCAGGGTCCCTGAGTACATCACGTTTTGTGAGTGTTTTAAGGGAAAGCCAAGTAAAGACATGAGTGTTCTACACTCCAGCAATTCGTAGTAGCCGTGGGGAAGTCATGCACTCATTTACCAAGTATTGCTCTGATTTCTGCAACGTCCCGGGCCCACGCTTATCTCTGGAGGTTGAGGGAAATAAGATTGCAGGAGTTCACGGTCTGAGTGGAAAAAGACAGACACTCTGTGTTTTTTTTTTTGAGACAGAGTTTTGCACTGTTGCCCCAGCTACAGAGCTGTGGTGTCAGCCTAGCTCACTGCAGCCTCCAACTCCTGGGCTCAAGTGATCCTCCCACCTGGGCCTCCCAGAGTGCTAGGATTACAGACGCAAGCCACCTTGCCTGGCCTAGGTACTCTGTTATCACTGCATCGAACCTGGGGAGCGGCCTAGGTAAACAGGAGACATGGAGGGCTGAGCCCAGGACCCAGTGAGAGTTGCTCTCAAAACCCTGCCCCCATCCCTGGTTCTGTCACCCTGAGCCCTCTTCCTGTTCATGTTGGCGGGGGTGGTCCTGGGCTAAGCCATGGTGTTTACGATGGTCTAGGACTTGGTGACCTTCAAGGATGTGGCAGTGGAGTTCACCCAGGAGGAGTGGGCATTGCTGGACCCCTCTCAGAGGACACTGTACAGAGACGTGACGCTGGAGAACTGCCGGAACCTGGCCTCACTCGGTAAGCCCATCATTCCTGTGTCCGTTCTTGTTTTTGTTGTTTTGTGTTTTTTTGAGACAGTCTCAAACTCCCGAGCTCAAGCAATCCTCCTGCCTCAGCCACCCGAGCAGCTGGGACTACAGGTGTGCGCCACCACGCCCGGCTAATTTTTCTGTTTGTAGTAGAGATGGGGTCTCGCTCTTGCTTAGGTTGGTCTCGAACTCCTGACCTCAAGCGATCCTCCCTCCTCGGCCTCCCAGAGTGCTGGGATTACAGGCGTGAGCCACCGCGCCCGACCCTTATTTATTTATTGTATTAAAATTCATAGAACATGACATTCACCATTTTAAAATGTATAATTTGGTGGCCTTTAATGTAGTCACCGTGTTGTACAACCATCAATGCTATCTAATCTCAGAACGTTTCCATGACCCCTAAAAAAAACCACCTGCCCATTAAGCAGTCAGTACTCATTATCTTCCCCACCCTGTGCTGCCGGCAAGTACTAATCCATTTTCTGTCTTCATGGATTTGCCTGGTGAGAACATTTCATATAAATGGAATCGTAAAAATACATGACCTTTTGTGCCTGACTTCTTTCATGTAGCATAATGTTTGAAAGGTTTAGCTGTATTGTAGCATTCCTTTTTATGACTGAAATAATATTCCATTGTATGGACAGGCCAGATTTTGTTTATCTATTCATCAGTTAGACATTTGGGTAGTTTCCACTTTTTGGCTATTGTGAATACTGCTAGGACTATTTGTGTACAAGTTTTTGTTTAAACCTCTGCTTTCAGTTCTCTCAGGTATGTACCTAGGAGTGGAATGCTAGGTCTTCTCTTTCTGTGTTGAGGTCTTTGAGAAACTACGAAACATTTCCACAGCAGCTGCACCATTTTACACTCCCCCCGGTGCATGAGGGTTCCAGTATCTTCCACGTCTTTCTTTCTGATCGTAGCTGTCCTAGTGTGTGTGAAGTGATAGCTCATCGTTTTGATTTGCATTTCCCTGATCACTATGACGTTGAGCATTTTTCATGTACTTGTTGGCTATTTGTGTATCTTCCTTGGAAGACTTCCAAGTCCTTTGCCCATTTTTTACTTGGGTTGTTTGTCTTTTTGTTGTTGGGTTGTAAAAGTTCGTTTTATATTCTGAGTACTAAGCCCTTATTCAAAATACAAGTTGCAGATAATTTCTCTGTGAGTATCTTTCCTTTTTCTTGATTGTGTCCTATGGGCACAAGAATCTTAATTTTGACGAAGTCCAATTTATCTAGGTTTTCTTTTTGCTTGTGCTTTTGTTGTCGTACCTAAGAAACCACTGCCTAAGCCAAGGTCCACGGAGATTTAGCCCTGTGTTTTCTTCCAAGAATTTTCCAAGAGTGTTAGCTCTTACATTTAGGCATTTGATCCATTTTGAGTTAATTTTGCATATGATGTGGAGAAAGGGTCAGCTTCATTCTTTTGCATGTGTATGTTCAGTTGTCCCAGCAGCCTTGTAGAAGAGACTGTTCATTCCCCATCAATGATCTTGGCACCCTTGTCAAAAATTATTTGACCATAGACACCAGAGATTATTTATCTACTTTCAGTTCTATTCCATTGGTCTGTATGTCTGTCCTTATGCCAGTACATTATCTTGACAATCATTGCATTGTAGTAACTTTTGATATCAGGAAATGTGAGTCTTACTACTTTGTTCTTTTTTAATATTCCTTTTTTCTGTTTGGGAACCCTTGCAATTCTGTGAATTTTCAGATCAGCTTGTCCATTTCTGAAAAAAAAAAAGCTATTGGAATTTCGTTAGTGATTGCGTTATCTCTGTAGATCCATTAGGGTAGTATTATCTTAACTGTGTTAAGTTTTCCAATATATATCCTTCTGTTACTCATATTTAATTTTATTCCATCATGGTTAGAGAAAATACTTTGTATTTCATTGTTTCTAAATTTGGTGAGACCTGTTTTGTGGACTGACAAACAGTGTGTCCTGGAGAATGCTCCATGTTCATTTGAGATGAGCGTGTATCGTCTTGCTGTATGGAGGGTTCTTTAGATGTCTGTTAGGTCTAGTTAGTTGATAGTATTTTTTAAGTTCTCTGTTTCCTTACTGATCTAATTAGTTGTTCTATCCATTATTGAAAGTGGAGTATTGATATCTCAAACTATTAATGTAGAACTCTATTTTTCCCTTCAATTATGGCAGTTTTTAATTCATATGTTTTGAAGTCTTGTTGTTAGATACATGTACGTTTATAAATGTTGTATTTTCTTGCTGAATTGATCCTTTACATAAAATGTCTATGTCTTATAATAATTTTTATTGTACGAAATATCTTTTGCTGTCAACATATTTGTGTCTTTGGATGTAAAGTGAGTCTCTTATAGACAATATATGTAACTGGTCCTTGCCTTACAATGGGGTTATGTCCCAGTAAACCCATTGTAAATTGAAAATATCTTAAGTAGAAAATGCATTTAATATACCCAACCTACCAAACATCATAGCTTAGACTACCTTAAACATGCTCAGAACGCTTAACGTTAGCCTACAGTTGTGCAAAATCATGTAACACATAGCCTATCTTATAATAAAGTGTTGAATATATCATGTAATTTATTAACTACCGTACTGAACATGAAAAACAAAATGGTTTTATGGGTACTTGAAGTATGGTTTCTACTGAATGTATGGCTTTTGCACCATCATAGAGTCAAAAAATTGTAAGTTGAACCATTATAAGTCTGTAATTGGGTTATTTTTAAAATCAGTTCAGCCAACATCTACCTTTTAATTGAAGAATTTAATTCATTTTCATTTAATGTAATTACTGTTAAGATGGGCTCTAGTTCTGCCTATTTATTATTTGCTATCTACCTGTTTGCTATTTGTTTTCTATATGTCATGGCATTTTTGCATCTCAGTTCTTCCATTATTGTTTCCTTTTGTGTTAGATATTTTCTAGGGGACTGTTTTGATTCCCTTCTCATTTCTTTGTATGTTTTTTAGTTATTTTCTTCGTGGTCGCCCTAGGGATTTTAGTTAACATTTTAATTTACAAAACTATAGTTTGATTTTAATGTCAACTTAGTTTCAATAATATGCAAAAACTTCGCTCCTATATAGATGCATTCTCCCCTTTAGTTGTTTTGCCATAAATTACATCTTTATGCATTGTGTGCCCATTAATGTAGATTTATAATTATTGGTTTATGCATTTGTCTTTAAATCATGTAGGAAAAAAAAAGAGGAGTTATAAACCAAAAATACATTGTCAGTGACTTTTATTTTTACCTCTGTATTTACCTTTATCAATGTTCTTTATTTGTCTATATGGATTCGAGGTGCATTGTCCTGTACATTGTCCTTTCATTTCAGCCTGAAGGTCTCCCTTTAGCATTTTCTGCAGTGTACATATTCTAGGGACAAACACTCGGCTTTTGTTTATGGGAATGTCTTCATTTCTAATTTATTTTTGAAGGACAGTTTTGCCAGACATACAATTCTTTTTTTTTTGAGACAGAGTCTCACTCTATTGCCCAGGCTAGAGTGCCATGGCATCAGCCTAGCTCACGGCAACCTCAAACTGCTGGGCTCAAGCGATCCTCCTGCCTCAGCCTCCCAAGTAGGTGGGACTACAGGCATGCGCCACCATGCCTGGCTAATTTTTTCTATATATATTTTTAGTTGTCCAGCTAATTTCTTTCTATTTTTTTAGTAGAGACGGGGTCTTGCTTTTACTCAAGTTCGTCTCAAACTCCTGAGCTCAGACAGTCCACCCACCTCGGCCTCCCACAGTGCTGGGATTACAGGTGTGAGCCACTGCGCCTAGCCTAGAATTCTTCGTTGACATTTTTCTTTTAATACTTTGAATATATCATCCCAAATGCCTGGTTGGCTCCATTGTTTCTGGTAAGAAATTTGCTGTTAATACATTGACCGACACACTAGGGGGAAAAAAAATTTCCCTGGGACCACAGTGTTTTATTAAAACAAAATGATCCTTTCTAATTTGTTATTTTTGTATTGTTTTCTGTGCCTGAGTTATATGCAACACAATCCACATTTGTAGAATTAAATTGTCAATTGTAACAATAAGAACATCAACAAGTAAGATTTTCACAAACCAACTGCAAGTTTTTGCTTCACAAAACCCCGGGGTTAAAACTGGCCTGAGTTAAATACAATTCACATGGCAGTCAATGTGTTAATCTTACTAAGAACCCTGTGTGCACAATGAGTCACTTCCCGGTTGCTGCTTTTAGGGTACTGTCTTTATCTTTGAGTTTGATTAATACTACCATTGTCTTTCAGTTTGATTAATGTGTGTTTCAGTTTAGATATTTATCTCTGAGTTTATCCTACTTGGGTTTATTGAGCTTTTTGCATTTGTACATTTGTGGATTTCATCAGATTTTGGAAAGTTTTTAGCCATTATTTCTTCAAATATTCTTTCTGTTCCTTTCTCTCTCTTCTTTTCATCATTGTGTGTATTTTGGTGTGGTTGATGGTATTCCACAGGTCTCCTAGGTCCTGGTTTTTATTTTGTTGTGTTTTTTTTTTTTTTAATTTTCGTTCTCCTTTTCAGACCAGGTAATATAAATTTCCCTCTCTTCATGGCTACTAATTCCTTCCTTTGCCTGCTCAAATCTACTGTTGAACCCCTCTTCTGAATTTTTCATTTCAGTTATTGTACTTTACAACACAAATTTCTGTTTGGCTTTTTTTTATAATTTCTATCTCTTTTATGATATTTTCTGTTTGATGAGAATTTGCACTCATGGTTCCCTTCAGTTTTTTTGTACATGGTTTCCTGTAGATCTTTGAGCGTATTTAAAATAGTTGATACATTTTATTTGTGTAGTAAATAAAATGTGTCTTCAGGGACAGTTTCTACCAATTTTATTTTTCTTTTAATAGGCCATGCTTTTGTTTCTTTGACTGCCTCATAATATTTTGTTGAAAACTGGACATTCAGAATATTATAATACGGCAATTCCAGGAGCAGATTTTTCCCCATCCCCAGTGTTTGTTGTTGCCTGTTGTAGTTGGTGCTAATTTTGTTATGTCTATATTTGTCATGTATGGCCACTGATATCTTTTTTTCTGTTAGCTTAATGGCATGTAGTGATTTGTCAGATATTTATTTGAAGGCCTGAAACTAAAAAATAAAACAAAACAAAAAAACCTCCCAGTCTCTTCAGATGAGCTCTTTGTGTACACAGGGACATGCCTTCGAAATTCAGCCAGGGAGTTTCCAACTCTGCCTTGGCCTTCTCCTCCTGCTTGCACAGAGACTGGAGGTCAGCCAGAGGTGAAGGCTTGGTGCCTTCTCAGGTCTTTTCCGAGCGCACACCCAGCTCCAGGGATGTCCTTGGCATTCTAGATTCCTAGGAATATGAGAAAGCTTTTAAATCCAAACATCTTTCCTCCTATTTTTCCTTCCAGGCTTTTGGTTAATCTTTTGTTTGCCTCAGTGAGTACTGATACATTAGCCTTTAAGTGTGTTGATATGTGTCCCAGGTAGCCAGCTCATCCCCCAAAAATTTGGAGTCAGATAAATGAAGACAAGCCATTCAAGCCAGTCTTTCAGGGAGCCACCAGACAGGTCAGAAAAAAACAACCACAGAACGAAGTCTGTTTTGCTCCCCCAGCCCCAGTGTTAGGAATGCAGGCTGCTGTCTTCAAGGTTGCAGCCAAAGCAAGGGAAAAAAAATGGAGCTAGAATCAGTTAAAATGTCATGCAGCTCTCTTACCCAGATTTGGGGGTTTTTCTTCATTAGACATTCTACTGATGGCTGTTAACTTACGGTAAGTTTTCAGGGTTCCCATTAATTTGATTCTGACAGCTTTTGCCAGTTTATTCACTGTTTTTGTGGATGGGATGGCCTTTTGGAGTTCCCCACTCCACCCTTTTCACTGACGTCACTTCTCACAAGTGTTTCTTAAGCACCTCCATGTTCTGAGGTCTGTGCTGGGGTTAGGGAGTACAGAGGTGAACACATTCCCCACCCTCATGGAGCTGTCTGTCTGATGCCCTCCCTATGAGCTGAAGATCTGTTTCCTGCTCTGACTTTATATTCTCCATGGTGAAAAGTTTTGGGGCTTCTGAAGTGTGTATTTGAACTTAGACATGGACTTCTGGGACTATTTATGCCCTGTCACCCTGAATGTTGAGTTGAGGATGCTCGCATTTTTGTTCCTCTTGAGAGTTACTAAATTTACTAGAATTTAGGTGTAATTCTAACTTCTAAAGGTGTAATGCACCTAAAGTCACATTTGGCCATCTTCAGAAGTGTTGGCTGCAGTTTCGTGGAGTTGCTTGTCCCTGACACTGATCGACATCACGTATATTTTCTCTATAAATAGGGTGTCATGTTGACAACCCCAATCTGATATCGCAGTTGGAACAAGAAGACAAGGTGATGACAGAGGAGAGAGGAATTCTCCCAAGCACTTGTCCAGGTGAGCTTCAGGTAGATGTAAGTTCTTGTGAAGAATACCTCTGGCCAGTGACTCGGGGGTCGGGAGTATTACATAAATGTCAATCAGAGAACTTTGTAGAATTCCCTTTGTTCTGACAAAAGTGAATAAGAACATTTGGTATGAACTTCCTCATGTACTTTTTTCTTTCTTTTAACTCTCTGTTCACCATCTCATATTTGACTTTGGCCTCAGAGGACAAACAGAAGACGCAGTTCTTTTCCTTTTCAAATTTCAGTCCAGTTCCTTCCCACTTTGTATTCCTGATAACTCCTTCTTTTGTCAATCTCTGAGCAATCTCAACTTTTCTAGAATCCTTTCTCTAAATTAACACCTAAAAATTTTCATAACCAAATCCTGTTCATTGCAAACCTGCTCAAAACCCTAATCCCTTGGAGTCTGCTTTCACTCACGTGTGCAATTTACCATTTCTTTTCTCCACCAACCTAAATTTCTTTTCAATTTCTTTCAGATGTGGGGACTCTACTTAAAGCCAAATGGCTACCTCCTAAGAAGCATGTTTTTAGAAAAGAACGGTCTAAAGGTGTAAAAGCGGTAAGACTGACGTGTGTGATTTCTGGTTTTCCACAGTAGGAGAACACCATAAATTCAGAAAGGGCACAGAATAACCAGGAAAGTCATTAAAAGAAAGTGCCATTTATACTCCTGAAAGTAGTGTCCCCAGAAAGGCACTGAAACTTGGGAATTTAGAGAAAGGTGTGTTAGTTCTAAATTTGTTTCTTCACTGAGAGTTCCCACAGGTAAATATTTCCCTAAACGTGACTGTGGTATTGACTGTTTGAAACACAAGTTTGTCCTAAACTTACCATAAAATGTTTTGTGAATATGATAAGGATTTTTGGCAAAGCATCTGTCTTTTCTAACTTCCTAAGAGCTCAAACTGGGCAGAAACCATATGTGACCACTGAAAGTAGCCAAAACATCAATTATAATAATATAACAGAATTCCTGGGGGAGAGAATTCCTATGGCAGCATTCAATATTAACAATCTTATGAACTATAGTTATCATTCATCTCTTAACCAACAGGAAAGAAGTCATCGTGGAGTGAAACTCAATGAATGTAGTCAGTGTTTCAAGGTCTTCAGCACAAAATCTAACCTTACTCAGCACAAAAGAATTCACACTGGAGAAAAACCCTATGACTGTAATCAGTGTGGAAAGTCTTTCAGCAGTAGATCTTACCTCACTATTCATAAGAGAATCCACAATGGGGAGAAACCCTATGAATGCAATCACTGTGGGAAAGCATTTAGTGATCCTTCATCTCTTAGACTACACGTGAGAATTCACACCGGAGAAAAACCCTATGAGTGTAACCAGTGTTTTCACGTCTTCCGCACTAGTTGTAACCTCAAAAGCCACAAGAGAATTCATACGGGGGAGAATCACCATGAATGTAATCAGTGTGGAAAGGCTTTCAGCACAAGGTCCTCCCTTACTGGGCACAATAGCATTCATACAGGGGAGAAGCCTTATGAGTGTCATGATTGTGGGAAAACCTTTAGGAAGAGCTCATACCTGACACAGCATGTGAGAACTCATACTGGAGAAAAACCCTATGAATGTAACGAGTGTGGGAAATCCTTCAGCAGTAGCTTTTCTCTTACCGTGCACAAGAGAATACATACCGGAGAAAAACCCTATGAATGCAATGACTGTGGGAAAGCGTTTAATAATCTCTCAGCTGTTAAGAAACACGTGAGAACTCACACTGGAGAAAAACCCTATGAATGTAATCAATGTGGAAAATCTTTCACTAGTAACTCTTACCTTTCTGTGCACAAGAGAATACATAATAGGTGGATATGAATTTCTGTGGGAAAGTGCTCGCGGATCGCTCATCTCTAAGACAACTTGAGAGAATTCACACCAGATGTATAAGTTATCAGTCACAGCATAACAAATTACCCACCCCAAAATGCTGTGGCTTCAAACAACGAATATTTATTATCTCACAATTTATGTAGGTCAGGAAATCAAGAATGGCTCAGCTGTGTAGTCGTGCCTCAAGATCTCCCGTGAGGTTGCAGTGGAGATGTTGGCCAGAGCTGCTGTCATCTGAAGTCTTCACTTGTTAAAGGCTCCACTTCCAGGATGACTCATTCACATGCCCGGAAAGGGCTTGTTTCAGGGGACCTGCAGTTCCTCACCATGTAGGTGTCTCCACAGGGCTCAGTATCTGATTTGGCAGCAAGTTCCCCCCAAAGCACGTGATCCAAGAGAGAGCCGATACAGAAGCCACGATGTCTGCTATGAACCAGCCTCAGAACCAGCCTCAGAACCAGCCTCAGAACCAGCCTTTTCACGTCTTTCCTTTTGTATTGGTCACACACACCAATCCCGATAAAGTGTGGGAGAAGACTACACAAGGCGTGAATGCCATGAGACAGGTCACTGGGAACCACCTGGGAAACTTGCCATGAAATCAATGAAGAAAAGCCTCCAGCACACCGTCATCCTTTTAATCTAATCAATATGAAATAGCATTCAGTAACTCTCCTGTTAATTCAGTCTGGAGAGAAAACTTCATGAGCACAATCTGCGTAGTAAAGCTTTCAGCTCACACTGCTACCCTAATGTGCCCAAAAGATTATATACTATAAAAACCTGAAGAATGGAACAAGTATAGGAAAGCCTTCAGTGATATCTCCAGGGATTCAGGTGAGAGTTCACACTGAGAGAGAAACCCTATGAAGGTCTTCAGGATGCAGAAGGCTTCAGGGGCACTCATCCCTTACGACATGCACAGGAAATCACCCAGCAGACAAACACTCATGTAAAAAAGTGGAAAACCCTACAGCAAAAGTGTTCACATTACTGAGCAAAAGATAGTGAAGTCTTCTGGCTGCAGCAAGTATGGGAAAGCATTGAATGTTCTCTCAGTTTTTAAGAGAGACAACAATTGATTCTGAAAAGAAAGTCCCATCGAATGTCATCAGTATTGGAAACTTTCCATTTTCCACACGTATTAGGAAATTTGTGGGAATTCACACTGCAAACAAACTTGCAAATATAAAGAATGAGAGAAAGTTTTCAATGATGCCTCTGTGTTAGGCAAAATATGAATATCCTCCCTGGATGCAAAACCTTTTAGCGTATTATCAATTTTGGAAAATGTTCAGTGATTCTCTCTTGTATGGAGGAAACCCTAGAAATGCACTCAGTGTTAGGACACCTCAGCCCACCTCTTTTCTGAGTGGCCACAAGGTAATTTATACTGGGAACAATAAGTATAAATGTTGAGAGTGTGGGGTTAGTGTTACCCGTGTCTCATTTGTAGGTTGGGCTACTAGGTCATTAATTTTTAGTCTTTTTGTTTTCATATAAACGTTCATGTCTATAGCTAGTCCCTAAAATCTTAACTTACATTCATTCCATAATTTTAATGTAATATATTTATTATAATTTACTCTTTAAATGCATCAACACAGGCTGGGCACGGTGGCTCATGCCTGTAATCCTAGCACTCTGGGAGGCCGAGGTGGGAGGATTGTTTGAGCTCAGGAGGTCGAGACCAGCCTGAGCAAGAGTGAGACCCCATCTCTACTAAAAATAGAAAAAAAACTTTTTAAATAAAAATAAAATCAGTACATTGTATATTCAAAAAGTTATTTCTGGATAGTTCCTGAGTGACTTAGTTTCTCATAATGGAAATTAGACAATATTTATGATATAATTTTTTCTAATTTAATGGTATTTTTGTCAGAGTATCTGGGCTTTATGATATTGATTTGTTTTTTCTCTTTCTATCCTAGTGTGGCAAATGCCATTAGCTTCTTTCTCAGTGTCCGTTCTTCCTGTTTTGTTTAGGTTGTCTGCGAGCAGTACTGAAAATACTCAATCTGCCAGGCTTTCCTGAAGCCCAGACAGGCTTTGTCTCGCTCTACTGGCCATGAGAAGTAGGTAGAAGCCATGTGGCGGTGGTGAGGGAAGCACCATGTGGTTTCTTCTCACTTACCATGTATTGATTTTACCCATTCTTTCCCTTGGCCTCTAGAGTTTGAAGAGCTATGTTTTTACCATGATTGCAAACACCACAGTGCAGCAAAAAAAAATCACAATGATCTAGACTCCCCAGAGCCACTGACTGCCTACATCAACTCTGAATTGTTTATTTTTAGACTTCTGCTTACATGATAAAGGAAACCCCCAACTAGTTGAAGCCAAAGTGATTTGTTGTTTTTGAGGTGGTCATCCATTAACTCCCAGCTGAATGTAGTCCCCTAACTGGTAGACCTATCAATTAGTCAAATTTTATCCATGTTTTATGTTTCTTTGAAAACAGTATATATTCTGTGATATATGGATATAGGTTATATGCACATTAATGCAGGTTACTTGTATTTTCACATATAGTACATATATTTAGATTTTTTTTCTCTTGACCTTATTTAGTGGTAGAGGTAAAGTCTTCATTATGATTATGGATTGACATATTCTTTTTGTAATTCTGTTTTTATTTATATACTTTGATGTAATGTTACTAGGTGTTTACAGGATTAGGTATTTTCTTGTGAATTGTTCCTTTCTACATAGAACCCATATATTTACCTAGCAAAATATTATAATGCATTAATAATAAATGGTCAGACATTTGTATGTCACTTCAGTAGACCAGGCACTCTTCTACATGCCATGTGAGTATTCACCGATGAAGTACTTACTAAAAGCATAGGTTGTGTACTGTTATTATCTCCAGTTTACAAATGAGAAAGCTGGTATGATAAGTTTCTTCCCTGAGTTCTCTGGCCAGTAAATGGTAGAGCCCAGATTTGAACCCAGTCAGTCCTTGCACTTAACCACGAGTCTGTTTATTGAGTACATTCCATGTGCCAGACGACGTTTTGCCATTGAAGCACTTCATTTTAATGGAGGGGGGGCACACTATAGAAAAAAATCAAGAAAATATAAATGTTATACAGAAAACTAAAACATTTTAAGAGAGGTGAAGGGCATTGGGGACTTGTGAGTTTACGTAGGATAGGGTAGGAAAGGAAGGCCTCTCAGTGAGGGACATTTGAGCAGAGACCTCAGTGAGTCACATGGGTCTGCGTGGAGACAGCAGTCTCACCAGGCAGAGTCCTGCGACAAGGCCAGTACGACTGGAGTAGAACACAGGGTGTGGTACGGGACTGACAGAAGATGATGTGGTCAGAGATGTAGTGGATCCTCATCTCATTAGGTTTTCTGGGTCACTGTTAGGACTTTTCCGTGTTTTTTGTTTGTTTTTTTTCCAGTGAGTTGGCATAGCTGTCAGAGCCCCAGCAGGAAACAGTCGACACCCTCAGACTAGGACAGTTCAGATCGAGTTTCACAAAGGGTCTGCTCACAGAGTTGCAGCAGGGGAACTGCAAAAGGCTATGCAGTATCCCCAGGTGCTGGGAAGGGCAGAGCTCTGTTGATACCCCTAATCCTGAACAGGCAAGAGGAAGGAAACCACTGAGATCTGGAGACAGATGGAGAGAGGGCTGCATTCCAGGAGCTGAGAGGTCGGTCAGGAGTAGCATCTGGCCACAGGTTCCCCTGCAGGAAAGAGCCAGGGTCAGACCTCTCTTCGTTAATCCTTGTGTCTCATGCCTGGGCTCCCCCTTGGCTAAACCCAGCCGGGAGCTTCAGGGCAAGGAAGCCCACTGATGTCATCCACATAAGCTGACCTTCCTAAGTTTCCAGGTCAGCAGAGTAGATCCACTGGGGGCAAAGGGGAGATACCCAGTACTGGTCACCCCTTTCGCCTCTCAGAACTTAGCATGGCCACTCACCTGGGTGGAAAGTGCATATCCCTGCCCAGGAATTCCATCTGCTGCTGTACTTCCCTAAAGTGCTGTCCGTGCACTGATACTCCCACCTGAAGCCTAAAATAGTTGCCACCACTTGAGCTCCTCATAGAGGATGGAAGATGGGGCTGTTGGGGGGAGACTACAAGAAAAAAAATTACCTGAAGGGCCTGGTTCCCAGAAGGAGAACACTTCCATCAGGAGACACAGGAAGAGTCCCGTTGGACTTGAAGCCCTGACTGCTATGACACCACACAAGGGAAGAAGTGGTCGTAATGGCATGGGTAATTAATCCTATCATCCGGAGGATGTGGGGCCACTGCTACACCGTGAGGACAGGAGGAAAACATTTAGCATTCAGGTGATCCATTGAAGGTCTCTTGATATTCTTTCCCCAATTCTAATGACAAGTTCAGCATCTGTGTCCTGAGAAGAGTGTTGAGACCCCATCGGCATGAGGATACAGAGCAGCCCTCCAGGTAAGCCACTTAGGCAAGAACATATACTCTATACTATAACCACTTGCCGTAACAAAATTTAGTTTTTAGAGGAAGCTAATTAAGAGCCTCTACAAAGTATTATTCACAGCACATAATAATAAGATTACTGCACATGCAAAGAACCAAGAAACTGTTCTCAATTACGAATATGCAAATCAATAGAAGCAGACGCAGCGGGATGATTCAGGTATTGGAGTTAGCAGACAAGGACATTAAAATAACTGGGTAATATGATAAGAAAAATGGAACTTCGGCAAACCACAGAAAGTGAAAGACAAACTGCAAATCTTCAAAGCAACCAAAGAAAAAGGACACGTTGCTCTCAAAGGAACAACGGTAAGACTGAAGATGACTCCAAAAGAAACTCTGGTGGCAAGAGGACAATGACATCTGGCGTCTAAAGAGTTAAATGGCAGGGTTAGGGGGGCTGCCCATCTAAAATTCTATAAGCTAAGAAAATATTCTTCAAAAATGAAGAAAAATGAAAGATACTTTCCAGTGGGAGTTTTTGTTCTAAGCTGAAAGAAATAACAGCATAACTGGACTTCAAGAAACGGTAAAGAGAATTCTTTGGGCTGAAGGAAAATGGTTATGTGTGGACATAACCTAACTCCAGGAATTAAGATCA